TCCTATTTATGGGGCATTTGTTTAAATAAATCAATATTTAATATAAAACAAATATCTTCCTATCTCTCTGTAACGTGGAAAATGTCTAGCGTTTCCTTCTAAATGTGGATCGTATTTAAAAAAATAGCAATGTTTGCAACATACACAAATTTATTACATACTTAGTAACAAATACGGGTTTTTCCATATGCAGTGCTGTTTACGTTACATTGACACTATGCATGCAATATATATTTCTGACCTTGATCTTTGGACCCTAAAGTTTTTCAAGTCATTGGGGAGTGGTGACATGAAAGAGCAATATATGATAAGTGTCTTAAATGGCCCCTTAAAATTAATATCTTAATTTTATTTTATATATAGCTTTACTTTGCAGAGCTATACACGTGACCATTATTTGTAATTTTTAATTTGATCAAAATGCTGTTAATTTAGAAATATGACATCATAAAGTTCACCTTTTCCCGTCATTTTAGCATATTTTGTATTTTAAAAAAATGCTTATTTTCATGTACTTTTTCTTCCAGAAAATATTGAGCGCAAACTTGGACAAACTTTTATATTTTTACCAAAGATGTACCTGTCCAAGACTAATTATTGACAGAAAATTTTTGCATGTTCTAAGCTGCGCTCTATGTTTCCCATAAAAAAAAAGTCAAGAAAAAGGCACATTCTTGTCTTATTTTGATTGGATTGTAAAAAAAGCATAATTACTGACGTAATTTACAGCAAGTTAGGGTATTTAAATGCTAGAAATATATTGGAAATATCTCTAATATAATCTCTTCTACAAAATAAAAAACAATTATACATATCTGAATCCCATTCTGAAATGTTGATTTTGGGGGGCCAAAATTGACTCTTATCATATATAGTCCTTTGTCAAAGTATAAGATATAGCTTTGAAAAAAAATATGTTACAGATTGTGTGAATTTATGACCTCTAACTTTTTCACCTCAAAATTAATAGGAATCTTCTTTACGTCATAGTGGGTGTGATGTTAAATTTTGTTGAAGATTCTCCCTCCCCCCCCCCCCCCCCCAAAGTCTTTATCCGGAAACTTTAATTTGTAATATATGATTTTTTACCTTGACCTATGACATTTTGACGTTTAAATCAAAAGGGATCTTCTTTAAACGATGAAGAGTTTAAATGTAAAACTTCATTGCAAAAGCTCAAATACATTTAAAGATATTGCAATAAAGAAAGTGTTACACAAAAACAGAATGAATGAATTTATGACCTTGACCTTTGACTTGAAATCAATAGGGGTGTTCTTTAGGCCAAAGGGAATTGTGATATAGAATTTCATTACAAAAGCTTAAATCTTTTTGAGCTATCACCCGAAAACGAAGTGTAAAACACAAAGAGAATATATGAATTGATGACCTTGACCTTTGGACCACAAAATCAATAGGTCTTCTTTAGGCAATAGGTAGCTGTGATATAAAATTTCATAGTAAAATATCAAAAGCTTCTTGAGAAGCTCAAAACTATTGTTTAACACAGACAGAATTTATGAATCGGTGTCCGTGACCTTTAACCTTTTGACCTCAAAATCATTAGGGGTCTTCTTTAGGTCATAAAGCGTTGAAATTCAAAACTTCATTCAATTATTTTTAAAGATATTGCCAAACGAAAGTGTTTCTCACATATAGAATGCATAAATTTATGACCTTGACCTTTGACCATTTGACGTAAAATCAGTAGGGGTTTTCTTTAGGCCAACAGGAGTTATATAAAATTTCATTGCAAAAACTCAAATATTCTTGACTTATCACCCGGAAACAAAAGTGTTACACACAGAAAGAATATATGAATTTATGACCTTTACCTTTTGACCTCAAAATAATCAGGGCCTTCTTTACGCCATAGGTGGCTGTGATATAAAATTTCATTGTAAAAGATCAAAAACTTGTTTATATATCATTTGGATACTGTTAACTTACAGGCAGAATTTATGAATTGATGTTCTTGACCTTTAACCTTTTTACCTCCAAATCAATAGGGGTCTTCTTTGGGTCATAAGGTGCTGTGATATAAAATTTCATTGCAAAAGCTCAAATCTTCTTGAGTTATCACCCGGACACGAAAATGCTACATACAGAGAGAATGTATGAATTTATTACCTTGACCTTTGGTCTTTTGACATCAAAATCAATTGGGGTCTTCTTTTGGACATAAGAAGTTGTGATATAAAATTTCATTGCAAAAGCTCAAAAGCTTGAAATATCGTCCGGAAACGAAAGCGTTACACACAAACAGAAATACAGACAGACATTAAATTAACATCCACAACTTTCAATGAAAGCGGGGTACAATTATAGTTCATTTTAACAACATCATTATCCAAATTTATTCTAACAAGAAAATTATTACTCATGAAATAAAAATCCCTTTTTTCAATGATAAGTCGCCCGCGTGGCGCTGTGGTTAGAGTGTTTACTCTAGAGTCGCGAAGTAAGGAGTTGATCCTTGCGTCGCGGGTTCGAATCCCGCTGCAGGACGTGGAGACCGGTCTTTTGGATGAGACCGTATAAACTGAGGTCCCGTGTCGCAGTAGGTGCTGGCACGAAAAAGATCCCTCACAGCTCAAAGGCCGAAAGTGCCGAGTACAATTCTTAATTTGTAGTCCTCCGTCGGCATGTGGTGGCGTCTCAATATGAATGAAAAATTCTCGAAGCGATGTTAAACAAACAAACAAACAGTACTAGTGATAAAGTCACTGTAATTGGTACAATATAAATTCCGTGCTAGTTTAATAAACTTTCATTTATTTAACTGTCAGTAATTAACTAAAATGATTATGATATGAATAGATTCCAAATTTAAAATTTTCAAGTAATATGTCCGTTTTAAACCCTATAGGTTTACAAAGTGCAGGAGTATGGTAATTGTCGTCGTCGATTACAGTGTAATTTAAATCACTGATAAACTGAAATGTAAATTCAACTGAAACTGTTTGGATATGCATGCTCCCTCCCCCTCCTCAACAAAAAATTCTGAATTCCAACGGGCTTGTGAATGTGAAATCTAGGATCATGAAGCAGTCTTGGACTTATAATTTCTAATAATTTCTATTATTCATTAAATGAATGAAATATCTGGAGATAACGAACAGTATTCAAGCTCAAAACTCCATTAAACAATACAAATTTTGGAGCAGAGAAAACATGGACCTCTACAACATCAGAGGTGGGATCAGGTGCCATGGAGGAGTGAGCATCCCCTACCGACCGGTCACACCCGCTGTGTGCTCCTTGTCATGATCGGGAAATAACGGGAAAAGTGTGTAAATAATAGTCTAACAATTAGTATGAAAAACGTCAGGCAGCATGAAATATATGGAGTTATCATATACTTAGTAGTAAATACACCGATTCTGCACTGTGCGATACGGGTGACGTCACAATACCCCATATCAAGGACCAGTCCGAAAATCCATATCACGTATCGGACCGGCGGGCAGAAATTCATATCAAACCGGAAATTACGTTTTCGCCCGGAACGCCTCTGGATTTACTCGCTTCGTAACAGACGACAACAATGGATGTTGGCCAATTTTGAGCTTGGCCTAGCTCCGCAAGATAATGTTTCTGAAGAGGACACACACAAATTTGTGCAGAATATGAGGAATCCAAACACTGTTCGGAAAACAAACTCAGATGTATATGTTTTTCGTAACTGGTTAAAGTCTAAAAACGAAAACCGATCAATTCTCGACTTAGAAGTGAACGACTTGGATAAATACCTGGCTGTGTTTCTTATGACAGCAAAGAAACTAGATGAGAAGGAGTATGAGCCGGAGACGTTAAAAAGTGTGCAGTCAAGTATAAGCAAGGCATAGTAATGGGTCCCCTTTTATTTCTTGCCTACACCAATGACCTCCCGGAGGTGGTAACATCAAATGTTAAATTATTTGCAGACGACTGCCTCATTTACAGGACAATTCAATCAATCAATGACACAGTCCAACTCCAACAGGACTTATGTGCACTTGAGAAATGGGAAAAGGACTGGCAGATGGCCCTTCACCCTCAGAAGTGTACTACTATCCACATATCTAAGAAACGCCATCCAATTAAAGAATCATACCAACTGCATAACCATACCCTGGAAGATGTCCCAAGTGGTAAATACCTTGGTATCACAATTAGCAAAGATCTTTCATGGCGTTAGCATATTAACTCAACTTCTGCCAAGGCCACGAGAACAATTGGATTTTTAAGAAGGAACCTCAGAAGTTGCCCACAGGCTATCAGAAGCAAGGCATACACTACGCTAGTACGTCCAGTATTGGAGTACGCATCAGTGGTTTGGGATCCTTACCAACATCATTTAATCCAACATCTAGAAGATGCTCAGCGCCGGGCAGCAAGGTTCGCCACAGGTGATTACTCATCAAGGGATCCAGGAAGTGTGAACACCATGCTATACCAACTCGGCTGGGAACCACTAGAACATCGGAGGGCTCGGAACCGAGTGATCATGTTCTATAAGATCTACCATCACATTGTGGAAGCTCCGGTACATCATGTGCTACATGTCACCAATAGCAGAACCCGTGGTTCTATGGCAAACAAAATCCGCCAAATCAGCACCAGGGTTGATGTCTACAAATACTCATTCATACCAGCAACTATCATAGCATGGAACAATATACCAGCCACAATTAGGAATTCACCATCAGTGGACACCTTCAGACACGCTATACAGTCCATCAGCGTGTCTGAGATTTTACACCACTAAAATGTCCACTTTTAACTTTTTATCCCTTTTAATATGGTGTACATAGATTTTTAGCTGTTCACTACGGAATTACTGGAGTATTGACACTCAAATTGAGTTCACTCCATTAAGGGAAGAAGAAGAAGAAGAACAGGTATCTAAAGCAGAATAATAGACAGATTAACATTATTGAAGACAAGGAATTTTGTCATTCGAAAGAAGTTCTGGTTTCAAAGATGAAATTATTAAGACAACACGAAAGGGGAATAAGTCAAAACAAGCTGAACCATTGACAAGAGAAGAATTTGATATTTTATATCAAAGGAATCTCTTGGGGAAAGGTATGTGTTTTAAAAATGTAGACTTAATTTGTGTGTGTGTGTCAAAGTATAAATCTAGAAGAAATGCTTAGGTCTAGAACTAAGCCTACATGTACTATATGAATTTCAGAAAATCCCAAAGCAGTTATAAATACGTTGTATATCAACAACACTCTACATTTTGGTATGAGATCAAGAGTGGGGCATTCTAATTTGAGGTGGGGCGATGTTGAACTCAAACTTGAGACATCAGGACAGAAATGCATGGAATTTACAGAACGTGCAACAAAGACTAGAAATGGTGTTGTTGGAGGATCAAGGCCATATGCCCCAAAGATGTATGAAGAAAAAGGTATTTATTGAGATTTTCCCCCATTTAATACTGCAGTTTTAATTAGCTATTAAAACATGTACTGTGATAAATACTATGTTTAAGAATGATTTTTCAGACAATCCCAGGTGTCCTGTTGCTTTGTATGAGTTTTATGCAGAAAAACGACCCCAGACAATGTTAAAACAGGAAGATCCAATCTACTTAGAACTCCATAGAAACTGGGCTGAAAAAAATGTTTGGTATGTGTCTCAGGCTCTTGGAAAGAACTCTTTGGGGTGCCTTGTAAAAACAATGTGCACAGAAGCAGGAATCGCTGGACGCAAAGTAAACCATAGTGCCAGAAAAACTGCCATCACAGCCTTAGTTCATGAAGGAGTTCCTCCCACTCTTATTCAACAGCATTCAGGGCACAAAAATTTAGCATCAATCAACAATTATAGCACAGCATCCATTCAACAACAAAAGCATATATCATCAGTGATGTGTAAACTTTCAAGCACAACTGAGTCCAGAGAATCAGACACACTACTCCAGGGAGATGAAACATTACAAAATGAAAATTTCCAGCAAAAAAAGAGCACGACTCAGATTCTAATTAATTTTAAATCTCATTGACGTTCATAACTTTGTTATTTATTTATTTAAATAAGGTTTATTTCTTATTTATTTATTTAAATAAGGTTTTAGACTTTATTTAGATTTGATTGAAATAAAGATGTACTACAATTTATGAACAATTTGTTGACTAAAAAAGATTTAAAATGATCTAAAATTGGCTCAAATAAATTCCAGAAAAGGGGAACATTCTTAATTAAATGACTGTGAACTCATTAAATATTTTAAGTATATGATAAATAGAATACTACATACTAAAATCCATATCATATGTCATATCAGCCCTCGGGCCCCATATCAGCCCGAGGGCCGAGGTATGCAAATAATGGCCTAACAATTACTATGAAAAACGTCAGTCAGCATTTGAATTAATGATAAATTGTATTTGCTGACAAGGTCGTTGTATCGACCATAGAACTTACGAAATGACGACTTTAAACGAGACTGTTGACATTCCTGTTTCATCAACTTGTTTGTCAATAACTTACCTCTCTTTAGAAATTGTTCTAACGTAGAGCCTCGCTGCTCTTGCGTATCATTGAATCAACTGAGAGATATAATTTATTATTACATTAAATTAAGAATGTTTTTTTTTTAAAAAAAATCTTTTTAAAGGAATGTATAAAAGATACTTTACGCCAGCAGGTTAAACGGAGTCATTCATTTTGCTAAAATTTTACAATCAACTTTAAAGTATGGGTCTTATTCGATGTTTTAATATAGTTCACGCGACACCTAAGTTCTCGTCATTCTTATTCACCTTTTTTAAAATCACATACGAACAAATATAACCATAGAAATATATTTTTATCATTATGAAATGGCTTAAAAACGTAAAAAAAAAAGTCACTCGAAAAAAAAGAATCATCAGAAGAGGTCTTCTAAATATAAATGCTCTTTGAAGAGCTCTGCTCAGTAATTAAGAAAGGAAGAAAAATGAACCGGTTAATGTCTCGGCTCTGTGGTAAATATTTACCATGGTAAAAATACGCATTTTTTTGTTTAATGGAAAATACGATCTGCGTGTCTATACTACGAATAAAGTGATCTTTATTGTATTTATTTATTTATTCATTCAATAGACTGTATCTCAAACACCAATGCTTGCAAAACGCTTGAGTCGTAACATCTCGGGTCGAACATGGTATGGGGACGTAACCACCTGTCACCCTCTAGATTGCGGGAAAAACTGGTGCTAGCACCCCCGATGCCGTACACAATATATCGTGATAGGGATGTCAATCATTTGAGCTGCACACATCATGATTTGTACTGCAAAGGTAAGAGGAGTTATTTGTTAAGAATAATTTGTTTGGATTTTTGTCTTACATGGTATCGTCAATTCTCGTTACAAGTTTTTTGTGGATTTCGGACTTACGACACTGTACAATGTATCCCCACGATGCAGCGCTGATTGTTGACCAAGTAAGTCCAACACGATTCCCGGGTGGGGGAGTCCCAATGCAGAGGACTTATAAAAAAGATTCTCTCTGATCTAAACTGACCTACAGTATAAATAGTTCTTTCCTGCGATGAACAGACGACAATAGTCAAGAACGGTAACTCTATTCATTGTAAACAAGATCATACTATTTTAAAACATTTCATTTGTTCTTCTCTGTGATTTGTTTGTCGCATATTTCATTATAAATGAAAATACATGTGCAAGAATTAATATAGATCTAGATGTATTATTTTTCTAATCAAAACTATTTTTTCTTAAAAAAAAACACCTTTTAGAATAATGAACTTAAACCTAGGTTTAATGTTTTTTTTAACTGTAAAAAGTCCTGTGTATTGTAACAAAAAACTATGTTTGTAAATGTAAACAAATATAGGCTGATGTGATGTGTATATTTATAACAGGTTTGTAAACGTAAACAAATATAGGCTGATGTGATGTGTATATTTATAACGGGTTTGTAAACGTAAACAAATATAGGCCGATGTGATGTGTATATTTATAACGGGTTTGTAAACGTAAACAAATATAGGCCGATGTGATAAGTATATTTATAACGGGTTTGTAAACGTAAACAAATATAGGCTGATGTGATGTGTATATTTATAAGTAACTTCAGGTTTTTTAAATATAGGCAGTTTTGCATGATTCAACAGCCAACACTTGTATGCATGTTATTAATGTCTTGTTTTTATAAACACAGAGAGAATATAAATCCGTCCGCCTGCAGACCTTGATTTTTCAGAAAAATTAGATGAGAATCTAGGAATTTTTTTATAATAGCCCAGACTTGTCGAAATTTTTAAATCATTGTCAGACATTTGGTCTGACAAAGTCAAATGTTCTGTCGGACCAGTCAAAGTTTTGTCAGACCAGATACATGTACCTTATTTTGACGCTGTGAAAGTCATATGAATAATAGAACCAAAATGCCCTGGATTATTTTCAACAGCTTTCAATCTTACAAGTTTCCTTCCTTGGGATAGAAAGTCTTTAATAAAAGACGTAAATGACATGTTTTATGACATTGCTATAACAAATTTAATAGGCTATCGTCAACACGCTGCGTACATGTACGTGGCCATTTTTCCTGTGTTTGTGACCTTCAGCTGCGCATCCTGACCCCGACCTTTATTAAATTTGCATCACGCTTGATTTTTTAAACGGTCATCTGGACCGACGATTTCTTAAAAGTTGTTGGTCCAGACAAATTTTTACCGGCCTTGCCAACAGGACTGACGGATTTCGACAAGTCTGATAGCCTAATGTCGAAAATGTCAGAAATAATTCAACTGATTATTTTCAAATGAAATAGATAAGAAAGGCTTAGGCCTTAATTGTATACTGGTCCTGGTAACCTAGCTGTAGGGCACCTCCTGTTTGTAAAGGTTTGATCCTACACTGGTACCACCTCAGAGGTGTGACATAGACATATGTAGTAGGGTGGGACGATACAGCTTTTTCTATATCAATACATATCATGATATTGAAGCCACGATAGGATATGTATCACAATATTTTGAATTGGTTAATTAAAAAATCTTTTTGTAGCGAAATGAAAAAAAAATTTCTTCACAAATAAGAATAATTTATTCGTAAACAATGTATATCAATGTTTCTCCTAAGAACCAGCTTCCGGCCAAATTAACTACTTCAATGGATAAAAATGCTGATTAGAAATCAAAAATTAAAAAATAATTCTTGCAAAAGTCCACAAAGATTTTTCTCATAAACCTCAACCCCAAGCCTGTTTCAGTTGATCTCTAGCCCTTTGAAATAAATGGAAAACACATATCTGTCATAAAACAAAATAATTCCACTCAAGTGGTGTTAATTATTATGAATTTCATTTGAATATTTATATTTAGCACACTTATCTGGTATATTAAACCACAAATGTTAAGTAAACAAAGAAAAAAAAGAAATATTTTTTTGCGGTTATTTCAGTATTTTTACATACCTGTCAATATTTGTATCATCTTCACACAGAATTGATATTATCGATACAGTCTATATCGGTATATTGTCTACACTAGGGCTGTCACGAGTACCCGAAATAACCGAGAACCGCGGTCCAAGTTGTTCGGTTCGGTTCCATTTTTCCGGATTTCGGTTCGGGTCTGGTTTATATATTAGAGTCTGTTCAATACAAAAAATGGCGTCGAAATCAAAGGAATGATGACGATAACAGTGATAAATAAACATCACAACTGAAATCTACTTCATTCCATGACAAAACACTTGTCACGGAAGTATTAGATAATTATCAAAACGAGCAGGAATGGTCAGGTTGTGGCTAATAGTAGGCCAAGTCACTGATGTATAGACGTTCGCATGGTTAAGACTTGTTTTCAATGTAAATTTAATGTAACAAATAAAGATTTTTCAAGATAAATTCATGAAATTAAGGTTTAAAATAGATGTAAATAACTGACCCGAAAAACCCGAAACCAAACTGAAACAGAACCGACCCGACCTGAAAAATTTTGGAACCGTGACAGCCCTAGTCTACACCCTAATATGAAGTGCCTCTTCCTTTCCTAAGCCTGCTAGCATTAGAAGTGAAAGTCACCAGGCAGAGGATATGATCTTAAAAATGTAGTTCCATGTCAGGTGCCATGCAAAGGATAAAATTTATGGCACTTCACCTTAAGCAAGTGATGTCTTTTTACATGTTTCAGAAGTTGGGGGGGGGGGGGGTGTAGCATAATAGGGGTACATTTACACATAAATTTGAAAGGCCTCAGTTCACGGATTTCTTATTTGATTTAATAGATTAAATAAAAATGTCTCTAGCTGAGCCTCTGTCCAAGAAAACTGGAAAAATGAAAGCAAGTGATGATGATGGAGATAAAAATTTGCCAGATCCCTCGACAGAGAAAAGTAATGATGACGGAAATCCCTTGACAGAGAAAAGTCAAAACAGTGAAGAAAGTGATGTTGAGGAAAACGAAAATCTATGTGAGCTCTCTACAGAAAGAAGTCGAAAACGGAAATCGAGTGATCTTCAAGATGATGAAAATCTCAGCTTGGTGAGAATTCAGGAAGCTCTAAACACTGCACACTGAAGAGTTCTAATTGTATGGTATTTTTATACAGTTAGAGTGATCTGCGCTTAGAAGTAAGATAGAAAAAATGGTTATTTATAATTAATTACCCAATTTTTAATAGATTAAAATATTCGTAGCATTATATTAGACCAAGAATAAGTAATTAAATTCATTATTTCCATTAATTTTTTTCAATGTTGGTAAAAAACAGTGATTTCTGTTCACGCATAGTCCATCGCCTTTGAACATTTTTCTTGCAGAAATAAGGCAGGTACCCTATGTTGAAAATGAATTAAATAGTCTCAGTATGCAAACCTGTATATGATATATTTTTCTCCAAGTCCAGAAAGCACTTTTTGTTAGTGTTTAGAGCTTCCTTAATATGAACTTTGCAATTTGTTTAAATATATTTTTTTAAGAACACTGACCTATTTCTTACTCTAAAGCTCACATTAAGCAAAAGGTTGATTGAATCTCTTTACGCTCACCTAAGTCAATTTGTGAAAGGCTTTTACCATGTTAATTAGTGAACTTTGTCTACTGTCTTTCTGTCTGTCTGTCAACTTTTTGACCTCACCTTAGCCAAAGGCTCAAGTGATCTTTACTGATAGAAGTTTGTCCATTGTTTATCTGTCTGTCCTTTAAATGTTTCCTTTTTTGACTTCCTTTCCAGAGCCACTTTGCCACTCTCATCTAAACTTGGTAGTTAGGGAGGGGGCCACAATAGGGGATCAAAGTTTCACACGGATATATACAGTAAAAGTTGTGTAATCCAGCACCACTGAATTTGTAGAAATTGGCTGGATTAGACAACATTCCAGATAAGGCAAAATTTGAAACAATTAAATTTACTGAAAAGTAATTAAAGTTTACATTGTATTTTGGAATACACAACATCCTGATTAGACAAGTTTCACTGTATACGTGTATTAGGGAAAAGCTTTAAAACATAAGAATCGTTATTAGTCACTTATATGTATTCAGACATCCTCAATCAGTGTAGATTCAAGTTTGATCAAAACAGGGCCAGGGGAGAAGAGCGGGGCCACCATAGGGGATCAGAGATTTACTTTGGATTATAGGAAAAGATGTGAAAAAAATATTCAAGCATCTTCAGACAGTACAGAATGAAGTTATGTTCTCCTCTTGTCTCCTGAGGTAGTGTAGAGCGGGACACATTATTGCATTGCAATATATAGGAGAACATTTTTAAAAAACAACAGGGCCAGCCCATCTTTAAATCAAAGTACTGAAAGTACTGAATCGAGGTGACAATGTGAAATCTATCCCCCAAGTTAACTTGCATGTACAAAATCTTTCATCAAGAGAACCCCCAAAGAAAACCATTGGAAAGCAAAAAGTGAGCAATATGACAAATGCATTTTGTAATTTATTTGATCTATAAAAAAATGAACTAGTTACTTTTAAACAAATGTGAAAATACTAATTTATACACCAACCTCATGATACAATATGTATCACAGTATTCAGTTCACGATACAATACGTATCATGATACATGACATGGTTAAGAAGTCTTTCAAGTTTGTCGTCATATTTTTTTAAAACTTGACAGGGTTATATCAAATGTTCATATTTTTTGATAATAATTAAAATATCAATTTGTTAACTTGAATTGGATTGATAGTTAGATCTTTGAGTTGTGACAATATTATACACCAATGACGAACATTTACAGGGAACTACGGGGACCTTTTCCTTTTAAATTGGAATGAAAAATGAAGACATTCAATCTTTTATTCTTTTTATTTACATAGAAAACCATTTTTCATATTTCTTGTGTTAACACGTTTTAGTCAACAAGACAGTGAATTTTCATCGAAATACATGAGATATCGTGTATTACCATAGAACATGTTTAGATCTAAAGGGTTTATCATTTGTCTTAACATCTATAACTTTTAATCACATAAGGAATGCGATAAAGTCCTTCACTGTGTTAAATCTGAAGTTTGTAAGATGCTGGAGATGAATTTAACTGCCATTAATGCGTTATCGTCGACCTCATGTTTTGCGTGGAAGCATTTTGAAATAGTAAACTTGGGAACAAAATGGACGATTTTGATATCTCTGGACTGAATGAACCGAACCGCGACATCAGTTTATTACATTTTCAACACTGAAATACTGTAATTTATTTACTGAATAAAAGTGATATTCTGACACAGTGTGAAAGCATGGTATTCTCACAGTGTGAGAATATCAGAAGTGCAACAAAACTTACGATTTTTTGTTCCCTTCATGAAGAGTGTTTTTAAATAAATCCCTGGTCTGTTATAAGATAGAGTTAATGAGCCATCCTGGCAGAGACTAATAGTTATTCTGCCAAAGTTTTTTTCCAAATATGTTGTTAAAAATCCATGTTTACAAAGTTTTTCAATCTCGCAATCGCTTAGTTATGACATCTCAACCACTCAACTATGACGTCACAGCCTATGACACTGTGTTACTAAAGGACAGAGGAAAAGGGAAAATCGAAGAAAATGTAATAAACAGAAAATTAAAAGCTTCGCTCTCATGAAAATATAAAAAAATCATGTCCCACTCGTGAAATAAATTCCATATTCATCTACAAAACATTAAATATCCTCTATTTATCTATGGAAAATTATACCGCGATATACCGTCAAACGATTTATCATTGCACTCTTAATACCTTTCTACCTAACCTATTTCTTCACAATGAGTAGGAAGAGAGCAAGCAAAGTAACATTTTTTAGCTCACCTGAGCTGCAGGCTCAAGTGAGATTTTCTGATCACCCTTTCTCCGTCGTCCGTCCATTTGTCCATCCGTCTGTAAACTTTTCACATTTTCAACTTCTTCTCAAGCACCACTGGACCAATTTTAACCAAACTTCGTACAAAGAATCCTTTGGTGAAGGGAAGTTTGAATTGTTAAAATAAAGGGCAAAGTCCCCTTACAAGGCGAGATAATCAAGAAAAGACAAAAGAAGGGTGGAGTCATTAAAAAAATCTTCTTCTCAAGAACCACTTGGCCAAAAAAGCTGAAACTTATGTGGAAGCAGTCTTGGATATTGTAGATTCTAAATTGTTAAAATCATGACCCCTGGGGATTGGGCGGGGCCACAATAGGGAATCCAAGTTTTACATTGAAATATATAGGAAAAATCTTTAAAAATCTTTAAAAATCTTCTTCTCAAGAACCACCGGGCCAGAAAAGCTGAAACTTATGTGGAAGCATCCTGGGGTAGTAAAGATTCTAAATTCTTCAAATCATGACCCCTGGGGATAGGGCGGGCCACAATAGGGAATCCAAGTTTTACATTGAAATATATAAGAAAAATCTTTAAAAATCTACCCAAGAACCACTGGGCCAAAAAAGCTGAAACTTATATGGAAGCATCCTGGGATATTGTTGATTCTAAATTGTTAAAATCATGACCCCCGGGGGTAGGGCGGGGCCACAATAGGGAATCCAAGTGTTACATTGAAATATATAGGAAAAATCTTTAAAAATCTTCTTCTCAAGAACCACTGGGACAGAAAAACTGAAACTTATGTGGAAGCATCGTGGGGTAGTGTAGATTCTAAATTGTTCAAATCATGACAGCCGGGGGTAGGGCGGGGCCACAATAGGGAAGCCAAGTTTAACATTGAAATATATAGGAAAAAATCTTTAAAAATATTCTTCTCAAGAACCACTGGGCCAGAAAAACTGAAACTTATGTGGAAGCATCCTGGGTAGTGTAGATTCTAATTTGTTCAAATCATGACACAATGGGTATTACAAGGAGGGAAAGAACACCATGGCCAAAGGTGAGCGATGTGGCCCATGGGCCTCTTGTTGCCTTGATTATTCAAATTAATATCCAAGCATCCTCTGTCAGATAATCTTTGTTTGCCTTGAGTATCAGGGTAGCTCTACATTAGGGGAAGCTTTTATCACACTTTATAAGGTAAAATCATATGTAATGTATTAATTGTGTAAGTGTACAGCAAGGGTGGAGACTCAACAGCTTTACTATATGTATTAATTGTGTATTAAAGTGTACAGCAAGGGTGGAGACTCAACAGCTTTACTATATGTATTTTCTTTGTTTCTCAAAGGACTCAAAGAGTGAAACACCGAGTTCCAGTAAGATAAGAAAGACACACCTACCATCGACTTCCTCGGATTATACGACGGGGAACGAGTCTGAAGAAGAAGCGGACTCAAGCTGCTCAGGTGAGGAAGGTGTGAATGATTCTGTAGGTAATTGGAAATATAAGGACCTACTGGACTTGAACATCTGTTACGCGGAGAAACCAGAATCCTTGGAAAACTTTATCCAGGAAGTCAAGGACGCTTTCTTGAATCGGAAAGGTTTCTGTCCTGATTGCAGTGAAGTAACCAGAAGTTTAAAGAGACACCTAGAAGAGAGTTTGACATTTTCTTATGATTTAAGAAAGATTAAAGACCTTGCATATACTTCAGTGGATTATAGAGAAGACGAGTCAAAGAAGGTCCACCGGGAGATGGAGGAAATTGTGAAAAAGATGTGGAGAAATTCTGAAAATATGCAGTCTAATAGACAGTAAGTTATAAGTTACCTGTGTTAAAATGAAATTTGGTGAAGAAAAAAAATTAATTTACCTGCATCAACAGGGGTCTAGAATTTCGCTTTCTGGTTGCCTGGGGCAAGTGAAATGTCATCTCGGGAAAGATAGTTTTCATGATAAACTTACCCAAATGGGAAAGTACCAAGTTTCAGGCTGAGCCAGCAAAACTTGTACAGTATAATAAAATAAATCAATAACAATTAACATCCAAATATCAGAATCAACACAACGCTGCTACATTTCATTTATTTAATCTCCGAGACTCATCTCGGTAGCACAGTTGCTTGTATAATATCGGAACCAATCCTGAAAGATCTTAAAATTATGGAATGGCTCTAAAAACAGAATTGAAGATTTAAAAAACAATGTTTTGTCTACATGTGATTAATCAGTAGATATTTTATAGGGCTGGGTATCGGCTGGGAATTTTGTATTGCAATATATATTTTAAACTGTATTGTGATATGTATTGCAATATTTTTGATAATTACAGTTAAAATGCTCTTTTCTTATTTTATTAACCTTTATTTATAATCAGTGTGAATAAAACTACGTTTGTTATAAATACGTTGTAGCAAAAAAGTTCTTGCTGATTTCACTTCAGTTTTGCAGCTGCAACCTTATTGTTCGGCATGATTGAAAGCATTTTTTCTGGCATCTTCAATTTCATATTTTACTTTAATTAGAAAATCCAAGCCTAAGCATTTTACTGATATACCGGTTCTGGCAAAACATATTGCAATACAATATTTTTTTGTTACCAAATTGCAATATTTCACTCCTATCCCTCATCCCCCTTAATTCTTGGGGACAATCCTGTTATATTTGTAAATATAGACACCTGTTGACTTGCAAGCTTGTGCATTTATATGGCCAACATGTGCCAATGTTCATCAATATAAGTTCAATAACGCTATAATATTATAATACCAATGAACTTGGCACTTAGACAAGGCCATCGTTAAAAATATTTTGTTTGATGTACTCCGACCCACAGTTTTGAAAGTGGGTAGGTAGGTAGGTTTTTTTTTTTGAATTTTTTTTACTTTACAGTATTGAACAAATTGAAAATTGTCATAAAAATCAGAGAGTCAGTAATTTATTGATTTTTTTCATTACACACTGGATAGCTAGACAGATTTAATATTTATTTATTTCTGTAAAAACTTTCAATCAAAAAAGCATCCTAGAAAAATTATATATTAGTACTTTAGTTTTAAAATGAAACAATCTCTATTTCTATCAAAACTAAAGAAAAAATTCAAAGTGCTGAAAAAAAAGATTTTGCAGGGATGATTTTGATGGGTCTGTTGAAGTACATCATACAAATCATTTTTAGCTCACCTTGACGAAGTCGAGATGAGCTTATGCTATACCCCCGGCGTCGGCGTTGGTGTCGGCGTCCCGGTTAAAGTTTTAGGAGCAAGTCCCATTCCCAAGTAACTATAAGCCCTACCTGGACCAAACTTGCATGTATAATGCATCTAGGGATGGACACTATCATAGATGCTTCAGATGCTGGATCTGACCTAGATTTTCCAGATGAATGACCAGGTTAAAGTTTTTGGAGCAGGTCCCATTCCCAAGTAACTATAAGCCCTACCTGGACCAAACTTGCATGTATGATGCATCTAGGGATGGACACTACCACATTTGCTTCGGATGCTGGATCTGACCTAGATTTTCCAGATGAATGACCAGGAATTAAAGTTTTTGGAGCAGGTCCCATTCCCAAGTAACTATAAGCCTTACCTGGACCAAACTTGCATGTATAATGCATCTAGGGATGGACATACCACACTTGCTTCAGATGCTGGATCTGACCTAGATTTTCCAGATGAATGACCAGGTTAAAGGTTTTGGAGCAGGTCTATTCCCAAGTAACTATAAGCCCTAGCTGGACCAAACTTGCATTTATGATGCATCTAGGGATGGACACTTCCACACTTGCTTCGGATGCTGGATCTGACCTAGATTTTTCACATGAGTGAATTTTAGCCATTTTTTAACCAAATTAGCATGGATGGTGTTTCTAGGGATGGACACTTCCTGACTTGCTTTGGATTCTGAATCTGATCTACATTTTCTAGACGAGTGACCAGAGTAATTTTTTTTGGGGAAGCTTTATAATATTGTGGCCTGTTATGATTAAACTTGCATAGATGGTGCATCTAAGGATGAAAACTTCCAGACTTGCTTTGGATGTTGGAACTGACGACAATTTTCTTGATTACTAAAGAGGTTAAAAGTTTATTGAGCGGGTCTATTTCCAAGTAACTATAAGTCCTACTTAAACCAAACTTGCATGTATCCATGTATTGATCTCGGGATGTACCCTATTTAGGAAAAAAAAAATATTATGTGAAATTTGCCTTACTTATACATAACATTCGTTGAGGTGAGCTTCGTAATCTTTGATTACCTATGTTTTATTATTGGCCTAATACAGAATAAAGACAGGTTTTGGATTGTTTCAGTTCAGTTTGTAAGGCATGAAGTTATCTGTCATAATGCACAGTTCATTGGTAGAACTTTGACACGTAAGCTACCATTGTATGAAATAGTTTTAAGTGACAAGAATATAAAAAATTCTGTATATATTTCAGAGGATTGGATTCATCTGTGAAGACATATACACAGTGTCAGCTGAATGGAATGGTGTTTGCTGTGAGGGAGTTTACAGTTGAGACATCTCAACTGATCAAAAAGACACTGTTTACCGAGACAGAGTTCAAGGTCAGGGGGAAAAGGAGGAGAGGACACACAAGGTCACAGGGTCATCATGGTGATACAGTGTGTGTTAAATATCCTGAAAATTTTTTCCAGAATTATTTTGAAGTATTTGGAGGGATGTTCTTTTTGAAAAAAGGGTTAGTATATTTAATGTGTATCACATTGGCACAAAGCACAGTGTGACCTTCCAGATCAGAAAAAGGAATATAATTGGTAGCTTTCAATGTCTCTAAAATCCATAGTTATGAACATGGCAGAAATAAATTCAGAACTTCTGTTTTGGATGCTGTGACATTTATTCTCTAGATAAAGTTAAAAACCTTCAAGTAGATCAGTTCCCAAATGGATGTCTTAAATTGGTAACAGGGAAGGGGTGCCAATGGTACTAAGTTATTTAGCAGGAAAGGAGAAAATGTATACAGTGGTATAGCTGGATCAGGAATTAAACCTGCCCAAACCCCCACCCACCCCTCTGCATTACAGTAAATACTAGTCTGGTGCTCTACAAACTGAGCAACCCAGACTGATATCCAGGGCCTAAACCATTACATTGACCAACTTTATTTTGTTTGTGGTATTTGTAGGAATGCCAGTATAAAATTGTACAAATCTTCCTAAGATTACAATAAACTATTTTATGAGTCAGTTTTTTACCCCCCCCCCCCCAATTAAAATAATATATGTCTTTTTGATGTCATTGTGTCCATTTGATGCACATTTATTGAAACTGTGCATTGTGAGCAAAATTTAAGCATAATTTAATCAGGATGCACACTGAGTTTAACCATTGGATATACGTGTGTTCTAGACTTGCACTGTTTAAAATTTGTAAAAAAGAAATCTCCAGAGGAACAAGATGCTGTTCTGAAAAAGTACAGTGTAATGGTTTGCATTAAAATTAATTTCTATGATTTTTAGCTCACCAGAGCTTAAAGCTCAAGAGAGCTTTTCTGATCACTGGTTGTCCATCATCTGTCCATCCATCTGTAAACTTTTCACATTTTCAACTTGTTCTCAAAACCACTGGGCCAATTTAAACCAAAGTTGGGACAAAGCATCCTTGGGTGATGGGGAGTTTAAATTGTTAAATGAAGGACCTTCCCCCCTTACAAGGGGAGATAATCAAGAAAAGTCAAAAATAGGGTGAGATCATTAAAAAATCTTATCAAAAACCACTGGGCCAGAAAATCTGAAACTTATATGAAGCATCAGTGGGTAGTGTATATTCTAAATTGTTCAAATCATGACCACTGGAGTAGGTAGGGCCACAGTAAGCATTACAAGGGGGAAAATCTGGTGAAGAACTGCAGGGCCAAAGTTATGCAGGTGAACATTGTGGCCCACTAATTTTACAAATCCAGAGGAGTAATATTTCAGATGTTTCCAGTCACCTGCATGGTGCAGTGGTTAGAGCGTTTGCTCTGGAGTTGATCCTGCAGGTTGGAATCCCACTGCGTTACATGGCAGGGTTTGACACTAAGGCATGTCCGACCGACCCAGTCTAGTAAATGAGTGGTCTGGTCATGTAAAATGTACGTGAACTAGACCGATTGGTCATGTTGATAAAATAACTGTTAAAACCCATTTCAGTCTTTCAAATTAATATTCCAAAAACTTTTAAAGAATTTTTCTTAAAATTGTTCGATAATAAACACAGCCAAGAATCCCCATTTGACACAGTTGCTATTTTTAGCCACAGCTGTAATAGAGAAGTTGCGGTAGAAACTAGCGTCGTTCAGTATCAATATGGTATAAATAGTTACTGAAAAAATATAATCTGCAATTAATTTATTAATATTTAGGATAAAAAAATTTATTAAAGTTCGATGAATGATCTTTAAATTTAAGATAAATATTACAATTATATTCACATGATTTGAATAGCCCGACTCAATTGGCTAGTCGGTAAAAATCTTAATGCGCAAGAGAAACGATTTCAAAATTATTTACCTCATTAAAATTAGTGATTTTAAGTAAGAAATAAAATATGCAGGTTTGGTCAGGGCTAGTGATTTTATAGTCAGGGCTAGTAAAAATTTTGGGAAGTTGCCCGACTGGTCTAGTACTCGTAAAAGTTAATGTCAAACCCTGCATGGAGACCAGTCCTTTACATGAGACCATATAAAGTTAGGACCCATATCAAAGTGCTTGCATGAAAAAGATCCCTCACTGCTCAGAGGCTGTAAGTACTGAGTACAGATCTAAATTTGTGGCCCTCAAACAGCTAAGTGGTGGCATCACAAAATGAGTGAAAACATAACAACCATCACTGTTTTAAAATCTATAGTACATTGAATTCTATGAAAATTAATTAAATTTAAACATTTAAGTTGTGTTTATAGAAAACATTTTTGTGTTTCAGTGAAATACCATGCAGATCCTTCACCTGTAATAATCGAGTGGAAAGGAACAACCCTGATTTGGTTTATCATTTCTTTTCTGAGAGGAAGACAGAGGAAGAACTCTTTTTTCTTTTGGAGGTAATTTTAGTCCAAAAACGGAACTCTCTTTGTCTTTTAAAGGCAATGAAATATGTGGAGATAACCAACAGTATTCGAGCTCAAAAGTCCATTAAACATTAAAAAATAGGAGAAGAGCAAACACGGACCTCTAAAACATCAGAGGTGGGATCAGGTGCCATGGAGGAGTGAGCATCCCCTGCCGACCGGTCACAACCGCTGTGTGCTCCTTGTCGTGATCGGGAAATGATGGAAAAATCTGTTGACCAGTGTGTAAATAATGGCATAACAATTAGTATGAAAAAAGTCAGTCAGCATTTGACTTAATGATAGATTGTATTTGCTGACAAGGTCATTGTATTGACCATAGAACTTATGAAATGATGACTTTAAACGATACTGCTGATATTCTTGTTTCATCAACTTGTTTGTCAATAACTTACCTCGTTTAAGAAATTGTGTAAGAAATTTTCACTTATCCAGAAGGACAAAAGCTCCCCTAATAAAAGATCATATCATGTGGTTTTAAGGTAGAAGTAATATTACTTTAGTACATTAGGGGTCAAAGTTTTTAACATAGAAAAAAAATGGGGACATGCATTATGCAGCTAGGTTAAGGACTCCCATAGGTATGTCATCCTATGCAGAGGTTCGGGAAAGCTATTATGACATCACGTTAAAACAATTCAAATGAATCTTGATGAATAAATACTGTAAGTTCTTTTTAAAACACACTAAAATACTTTCTTTTCTCATAAATATTATAAAGATAAATGGTATGCAACATATCTTGCCAAAATAGCACTTTGAGTATGTAGAATATAGCCTAGATATAAATAGTTGCTGTTGTGTTAATCTTGACCTAGCTTGAGCAGTGACAGTGAATATTTAATAAAAAACATTTATTTTCCTGTTTGACATTTTAGAACGGCCGTAGATACCTGACACTTGTGTCAATGAAGCCCCAAATTCTCAATAATCTTGATCATATCCTTTAAAGCTAAAATTAATCACAATCATTGAGTTGTGAATTTTATATGATAATGAGGTTGGAATTATTCTTTAAAAAATTATTCTTTAAACTTTATTCTTGCAAGTTGTAGCTGTAGCCTTGTTCAGTAGTTGTAGTACCGTACTTATTGGATCAAATCAAACTTCAATGAAAAAGAGCACACTCAAGGGAAGTTACTCTAGATCATGTAGATATTCGTGATAAAAATCTATGGACTTCATGTACAAACTCCGGCAAAATCCCAGTGACAGAAATTTAATAGCCGGCAAAATTTTTCATACAGGCGGTTAATTTTGCTGGTTGCCGGCTCTTATTGAAAACACTGCTTACTGAGATTCTGTGTACTTGAGGCGTGGATCAAGCTATTATCATAGCTTGTTAAAATAAAAATAAATATGAAACAAGCTTAATTGGACCAGAATAAATAGTTATTCTAAAATATATCAATCCACATTTGATTGTCAAACTAAATTGATAATGTGTAGACCTTATATATAGCCGTAGGGAACACATTTGTACAGTAACGTGTTAGAATGTGGGGTCTGGCCCCTCGAAAATATCAAAAGTTCAACGATACCCGCTTCACTAAAAATTATGAATTTTTAGACACGTAGCTATTATTCCTTCTATTCTGAAAAGTGCTGGGAGCTAGTTGTGCTTTGTTTATTTATTCCGTAATGTAACATTATTCCAGTGCGTATTACATCTATGTCTGGAGTTTATAGAAAAAATTAAGGCTAAATTTTACACAATTCCCAAGCATGAGGAAGTTGCTCCCAGCACTTTTCATGTTAAGAAATTTGTCTAAAACAAAGCTGAATAAATTTTATAGTGGAAAGATATCCGTATATCGTTGAACTTTTACGATCTTTGTAGCAGTACATATTTGTTCTAATTTTAAACCTGTCACATGACAAACAGCTGATGTAAGCGATGTCGCCTTTGGCCGAACTCAGCAGAGACCCGACATATACAAGTGCAAACACCACAATGCACATTCATCAAAACTAATGCCATTGAAAAAAATTGAAAAAAATTAAAATTGTGTTCCTTTTCTCTGAATATATAAGGCATATATTTCGTGGGCATCCTTAACTTAGCTGCGAACAAAAATCTTCTTCCTTAGAACAGCAGGACCATGAAAAGTAAAATCAATATGTGGCAAGTTAAATCTCATTTTGGCACATGAATCTATTGAGCCAGTTAGTATCTCTCTTAAAAAAATGAAGGAAATTTTGAAATTGCATGCCAGTCATCATTGCTTTTGCATTTAGAAACCCTCAGTAGCATTTCTTACTATCACTCTTTATACCATATTAGCACTTAGCAATCTTAAAAAAACTGTTCTGGAAAAAAGTAACAAAATGAGATTTTTGACTGTTTTAACTTTAAATATCTTGAGATTAAAATGTGGTATTTTAATTGCAACAAAGTATAGTATTTTATTACTTTACAAAATATAATATGTTACTAATTGTTCATTTGACAAACTAGTGAAAAAAAAAACAACAGAAAAATTAAATAACAGGGTTTTCAGTTCAGGATGTTGCAATGTCTTGTGCATTCTCCTGCACTTTTAATCCAAATTTTAAATCTAAACTGTAGGTAAAAGAAGCTCCAGTTAATCAAGGTGCAGTAGATATTGAAGAACAACTTGGCACCAGAGTGATGGCACAGGTTGGATCAGAGCTGCTTGGCCAGTCCATGTGTTCAGTATTTTATCCCAGTTCTCTAGGGATCCTCTGTATGGAAACAAAAGTAAGAACATCTTACCCAGTACAGACAATGAATTATACAGTAGAACTTGTTAATTCTGACACTTTAATTTTTTTACAAAATTTATATAATGGATAAATAATGAGATGGTGTTGAAAAGATGAGAGAAAGAAAAATCCTCTCTGAGGGTCGAAGACCCTCTGAGGGGATGTTTTCTGTAAACTATTCAACACCATTGAGTTATATATCTTACTTAAAAAAAATCTCCACTTTGGACCCCAAAGAAACATTTATTATGCCCCCGCCATAAAATGGCAGGAGCATATAGTGTTATCCAGTTTGGTCATTCTGTCATTCCATTATCGTTCACTTTCTGTTCATTATCTCTGCAACAGTTGCACACATTCAAGTCAAATTTGACATATGGATATGCCTTAGGAATACGTAGGTCAAGTTTGAATTTGGTTATGGTCCCATGATTTTTGACAGAGTTATCATTCTTGAACTTAGGAAAAAATAAGAAATTTTCAGTTTCCGCTCTCTAACTTTTGTAGAGATGTATGTATAAGGTTGAAATTGCATATGCAGGTATTTTACCAGAAATTATTGTTTCCTGTCAGTTTGTCTCTATATAATCAATACCCAACTATTATTGCACAGTGTTCAAAGGATTTATATAGCGTAAGCATACTATGCCAAAATAGTCAGCTTCATTTTCTAAGGAAAATCCGACAGCGCCCACGCCGAGTTTTGAACTCATGACCCTGAGATTGTCAGTCCGATGCACTACCGATTATGCCACGGACGCCGTTATCTATACCACTGTATTTTAATATATATAACCTTAATTTCAATTTTTTGAAACTATCTGCACATTATACCTTTTTGCATGAAACACTCAAAATTAAAAACAAAAAGATTATGAGGTACATGTAGCAGGATGTGACATCATAATAGGGTCTACTAACATGTTTGTAAGAGGTGATGAAACACTGGAAATGGAGAAAATATTGTCGTTTTTATACAACAGTCGGCATAATAATAACAGTAGTGTTGTACTTTGCATGCACCATGCCTAAATGGTAGTCAGGGTTTGACAAATAGTGCACTTGCCTCGTGCACCATGTGTCAAACCCTGATTACTTTTTAGGCATAGTGCATGAAAAAACACAACACTATTATATAAATAGGGTCAAGTTGAAATATAAAACTAAATATTGCATTTGAATTTCTGCCTGCTTGCAGGGGCATTCGTGGTGATAACGACATATCTAGTTCATTCATATATCCAATTTTGCTGCAATACAATAGAATCTAGCCCATTTAAATATTCAACAGTTACACTATACAAGAGCCTAATCGAACACCCCTTTTATTCATGGGCTAGTGAGCATGAAACTGGTGCTAATGTCATTTCAGACCTTTCCTTTGTACTGAACAGTCATGAAATCAGATGAAGAATTTTTTTTGAACCCAAAGTAAATTAAATTTAGAGAGATTGAGTTCGTGTTTTTAATACTTTTGACCTGGAAGCAGAAGAAAACTACACAATTCTGATAAAAATTTGGACATTTATCATTACATATCAGATGAAAATTTGTTGAGGAAAAGTGTTGGAATCTGATGGAGTTCCAGTCAGACATTACTAAAACAGATGAAATGATTGTAGGAATTATGCAGAACTTGCTTTAAAAATATTCCATATCAAGTTAACATTGACATTTTCTTTGACCTTGACCTTTTCTTAAATTTGTGTTTAGCTCAATTTCATAGAAACTGTTCAAGAAATTTGTATCAAACATTATTTTTTGAGGCGCATCGCTATCAGCGAAGTAGCATCATTGCTGACAACCCCCACTCTTTCTTTCAATTACTGTGGCGACAAAGGACTTTACAATATTGATTCTAAATATGCTAGTGAAAATAGTGCAAATGTATATTGACAAGTTGGTGATATTCATTGTCTATTTCTAAATATCAAATAACATAAAATCTCACATTTATATGTTGTTTATACATGTACTTTGAAAGCAACAAAGTTAAATTAAGAAAAGAAATAAACAAACCAAACCTGAGAAAGAGAGAAAACAACAACAAACAAACATGTAGGCTACGCGGAGTAAGATCTATTTGCATCACAACAGCTCGTACTATAAATTATTAGGTGTAAGGCGACATTGCTTGTACAAATATCTGAGAAAAATGTTCAATAATTTTATTTAATAAAGCATCACTAACAATAGGAATGAGATTGTTGTTTTTATAGAAATAGAAGGAATATTATTATTTTTTCACTCAGTGAAACGAATAGTAAGATGTCCAACTGAATTAATTTTTGCAATAGGCGCCACCTTTCGGGAAAAAAAATCCATGAGGAAGGGTGACTTGAAACAGTGAAATGATCGGTTTTTGGTGAAATGTCAGTTGAATATCATGAAATGACTGATAAAAAACTGGAAACTGTGATTTCAATTTATAGGATTACTAATACATGTACCTTATAAACTTAGACTTTTTGAGTTCAATCCTTACCGCTAAGGTTTTATAGTCAGTTTTATCAAAATATCGGAGGAAATTGGCTGACATTGACGGGTTTCATAGTATACCGTATACCACGCCGATTGTATTTTTTCTGTCCCGTATTATTATTTGAATATTTCATGTATCAATATGGTTTACGTATTCATGGTATTATGCCATTTTGCTTGAGAAAACAATTATAAGACAAAGTATTGATATTTTAAAAAAGTGCACATAAGGAAAGAAACTTAAAAATTTCAGATATGAAATTATATAGAATTACTCAATAATCAATTATTTCTAAATTCTCATCATTATTTCATCTTCCTACTATGATAATAATTAAAGAATAAAAATAAAAAAAAAATAAAAAAAAAATAAAATTGAAATCAATTATAAATTAATTTAAATATCATTGAATTATAATTTACATATCGGACTATCTTTAAAGAAATGTTTGTTTACCATTTCCCGACTGACTGGTTAAAAATGCCACAACACAAAACTTTTTTTAACATCAAATAAAAGATATTTTATTATTTTTCTTTATTCCTGATTTTTTTTCATTCCTTCAACATGTATGTTGAATTTTTTCTGAGAGAAAAAAATTGAGTTTTCTACCTTCAAAGCGATGCACCTCTCAGGCCTTCAGGCCTTTGATTTACCTTAACCTTACATATGACCTTGATCTCACTTTTCTTAAATTTGTATTTAGCAAATTTTTCAAACAAACTATTAAAAGTATTATGTTCAAACTTCATATGCTGATACATATTCATGAGAGCCATTCAACTGCATCAACATTTTTGACCTCTACCTTTCCTTTCTTTTGACCTTGACCCCACTTTCTTAAATAAGTGATTATTTAAATTTTAAAGAAACTCAAGATAATTTTGTCAAACTTTATATGCATATACATGTAGCTGTTTAACAGCATCAACATCTTTTGACCTTGACCTCACTTATCTTAAATTTGTATGAAACTCGGTTTCAAAGAAACAATTTAAGATATCTTGATCAAACCTAATATGCTGATACATATTAATGAGAGCTATTCAATGAAATCAACATTTTTGATCTTGACTTTTCTTTTAATCTGACTTCAAAATTGTGTTAGACTTAGTTTCAAAGAAAGTATTCAAGAAATTTTTATCAAATTTTATATGCCAATACATATTAATGAGCTATTCAATGGCAACAACATTATTCATCTTGACCTTTCTTTTGACCTTTACTTCAAAGAACTGTGAACAATATTATTGTTCTGCAGCCTACTTCCAAATCATTTTTCACATTTAAATGATTTTTTATATTTATATAGATATTTATGTGAATTTTCACAAAACATAAACTTAATCTATTTGGATGAACAAAGAGAGATAACCATGATTTTGGTAAAACATGTTTTTCAGTATAAAAATCAATCAAAAACAGGAAATATTTTCAAAACATATCCCCCTTCCCCTGTGAAACAACAAATTTCTTTTTACAGGTATTATGAAGTGTTATTTCATAAATTCACACCAAAGCTTTTTATGTTTCATGGGGGGGGGGGGGGGGGGGGCATAAAACAGCAAAACTGTAACTGATTTCAAATGCTATGACAAATTAAAAAAAAAAATCTTTTACATTGATTTTTACAAAAATTTAACATACAGAAAGGTTTAAGGGTCATTTATCCATTTCCATGCATATTTGAAAATTTGGTGATGTTTTAAAGCCTGATTTCAATGTATAATTTTTTTTACATACCCCCACCCCATACCCCTTATGAAATGAGTTGTAAAAAAAGCAATTAACATTTTGATGCTTGGTTTTAATTAATAAATCAATTTACTAATGAACTATTCTTTGTATTCAAGTAAGTTGTAATGGCCAAAATGCAAGTTGAATAAGATGGGAGTAAAATGTAGGTGGGAATCAAGAGTTAGCGTTCGTAGTTCTTTGTTTTTAGCATAGGGCCTAGTTTCAAAGATTTTATTAAACCTTACATGCTGATACATATTGGCAAATGCTATTCAATGCATCAACATTTTTTATCTTGATCTTTCCTTTGACCTTGACTTCATTAATGTGTTAAACTAAATTTCAAAGGAAATATATTCAGGACATTTTTTTCAAACTTCATATGCTTATACATATAAATTAGAGCTTTTCATTTGCTTCAATATTTTTACCTTAGCATTGCCTTTTACCTTGACATCACCTTTCTGTTACTTGTTTTCAAGTTACAAATTAACGTTTATTACCAAACACCAAATGCTGTTACATATTAGGGAGAACTATTCAACATCACCAGAATTTTTTGACCTTAACCTTTCATTTGATCTTGACCTCACTTTTCTCAAATTTGTTTTAAGCTCAAAGAAACTATTCCAGATATTTATATGTAAGCTTATATGCGGACACATTATTTTTCAAGAATTTATCAACTTTTTCCATTTCTTTTCATCTTGAATGTCCCAATGACCTTTGACTTTTAAAACCATAAAATGATTTAATTTTCTCAAACCTCAACGGTATAAATCAAATGTGTTGAATTCGTCTACCCCTTATGATGTCACTGTGAAATTACATGAATCATTTATGACTGAACAATGAATTTTAAGGACAAACCTGCTTTTACACAGAATTAAATACACCTTGCTTAGAAAAGTGTTATATAAGGGAAAACATTTGCAAATGTAAATAGTATTTATTGTGTATTAAATTCAGCTTTAAAGAAACTGTTCAAGGTATTTTAATCGAACTCAATACACTAATACAAATTTTCATGTTGCATTACTATTGAACCATGGATGGGGCATTCATGCCCTTAAGACATAACTCTAGTTTTTATCTGGACTATTTGCTTATGAGATTTAACTTCCAGATTAAAGAGGGTCTACAGGAGTAAATTCAAATGAATGAGGCACATCTTAAATAATACATTTTCTACTGAATTGATTAATGAAAAGGGTGAAAATAACAAAATGTGATAAATCTTAAAAAATCTTTTAACAAATCTGTGAAGAGGGCATAAACATGGACCCCTGGAAATTTCAGAGGTGGGATCAGGTCTCTAGTAGGAGTAAGCATCCCCTGTTTACCGGTCACACCTAATGTAAGCCCTATTTTTTTTCAGGTAGAAGGAACATTACTTAGTCAAATTGAGTATAAAAACAAAGGCCTAACAATTGGTATCAAACAAGTCAGCTAAAATATGACCCACTGATAGGTTATATTTTGCTAACAAGGTCATTATAACGACAATAGAGTCTACAAAATACTGACTTTAAACCATGTTGTTGAAATCTCTGTAACATCCTGTCTTGGATTGAAAATTAAAGGTTACCTCTTTAGACGTGTTTACTTTCAAATTCTGAAAGGATTTACAAGTAAAACTTTACAGATTGAGTTGACAAAATTTATTGATTTTTTTTCATTTAATTTTCATGAAAATATATCTTTTCTCTGTACTTCTTGTAAATGAACAAATCTCAATATTTTTTTGATGTTACTTTAACACTTATTATTTCCTCTGGCTTTACGAGTATATAATGATGGGAGTGTACATCCTTCCGTTTCTATGTCTATATATCTGCTACTGAGAGTATCCAACTGTTGTCCATAACTCCTCCTATACCACTGAATAAAATTTAATGAGTCTTTCACAGAATTCTGATTATGTAATGGTGCCATTTTGATCTCCTACTGTCTGGTCAGACATTTTTTGGGGGTTTCCCCTTGGCAAATAATTGACTTTTTAATTGTAGTTAAAAAACTATAATATTCATGTTGTTTACAGTTCTCTTCTTTCTATTGTAGTTAATTTTTGTTTTCCTCAAAATCACACTGGAGCATTCAATATCCATATGTAAGGGAGAGATAGGATCATCTGATAATCCAGGGAAGATAATGTACACCGAGTCATTTGACATTCTTAAAGCTGAGGACAGACTAAAAATGGCTGAGTTTCTCTTCTGGTTAGGATCAGTACAAGATTATGGAAAATATAAGTTTTTCTGATGTATAAACATATCAACTTATGTCCATCCATTGTCTATTTCATCATATACATTTGTATGTAGTTATTATATGTTATAATGTTATAATATGAACTTTTATTTAAAGAAAGGTAATTATACAAACTTAACATTTTTTTTTTGATTTGTCATTTTTTTAAACTACAAGAAAGCTTATGTTTTGGTCAGGAGTCTGTCATTCTTTTATCTATCTGTTTGTTTTGTCTGTCTGTAAACAGCCTTTCAAAATGCTTCTCATCATACACAGTTAAAATTATAATTAATCATTTCAGTAGAAAATGTTACATAGTAGTAATCAAAGTTTGTCAGGAAATGGTACATTATCAGGAACTATCAAAGTCTGTCAGTAAACATTAAATTATCAGAAATTGTCAAAATTTGTCAGTAAATAGTACATTATCAAAAATTGTCCCAGTAAACATTACATAATCAATAATAGTCAAAGTATGTCAGTAAACGGTACATTGTGAATTAATGTCAGAGTTTGTCAGTAAATAGTCAGTCATTGTCAAAGACTTTCAGTATACATAATCAGTAATTGTCAAAGTTTTGTCAGTGATTCGTTCATTATGAATTAATGACAAAATTTGTCTATAAACAATACATTATCAGTATATGTGAGAGGTTGTCAGTAAATTGTCAAAGTTTGTCAGGTAACACCTTTCATTTTATGTTTACTATGTTAACACAGTGTATTTTTATTTATTGTCATAGTTTGCAAATGCAGTGTTTTATCAGTAATTGTCATAATTTGTTATTTAAGGTTATCTGTAATTGTCTTGATGAAAACAACTTGTCTAGGCTTTTGAGTAAAACAGTTTTATCATCAGTAATCAGTGATTGTCTTAGTGCGTACATTATCATAATTCATATTTTTGGTGAATGCAGTCATTAAAAGTTGTCAAAGATTTGCAATAAGGGCTATGTTTTGTCAATAATTTTCTATGTTTTGGCAAGTGAAATGGGACTGTAAGTAAATTTACTAGCAGAGTAGTGTATTTTTTGATGAGAAGTAGTTTAATTTTATATAGTAAATGGACAGGTATGAAATTCAACAGGTTTACTTAATTCTGTATATTTTGATTATGAACCTATAGCTAATGTTTACAGAAAAGTTGTCAGGTATAATGTTTATGTGTTACGTTACGGTCTAATTTTCACTAAGGACTACAATTCATGTTACATCATATTTAAACATTTTAATGCTAGTCCTTTTGGTATATCCATAGAGCAGATAAATAGAAGATGAAACTTTAATATTATTCATAACTATGAAGACAGGTTAGATGATGTATCTTGGAGTATAGAATGTGTTGACCTAAAAGCAGGTTACAGTGACATATGTGACATACATTTAGACTTGCTTAAGTCATAATGTAAATTCTAAGGTCGTTATAATGAACTTGTAACCAAATATTACCTATCATTGCATTCCTTCGGTCTTTATTTGGTTACATTGTTTCATACCAGTTGTAAGGCCTTTGTTTTAATACTGAATTTGACAACAGAAATTTCCATCTACCTGATCAATACACAGGCAAACAGCGGGTGTGACCGGACAACAGGGGATGCTTACTCCTTCTAGGCACCGGGTCCAATCTCTGGAATTTCCTGGAGTCCGTATTTTATGCCCTCTTCACAGATTTGTATTGCTTATAGATCGATCAATGTTTGTTTTCTTCTTAAACATTAAGCTCTAGCCCTAGTAAGCTGTTCCAGCTCTCCTAAACTGAAAGTTCTAGTAAGCTGTTCCAGCTCATTGAAGCTATAAGCCCTTGTAAGATATCCAGCTTATTAAAGCTGTAAGGCCTAGTAAGCTGTTCCAGCTCACTTGAGCTGTAAGCCCTTTTGAGCGATCCAGCTCACTTAAGCTTTGAGCCCTTGTGAGCTATCAGGCTCACTTGAGCTGAAAGCCCTAGCTGGTGCAGCTCACTTAAGTTGTAGGTTCTAGTGAGCTGTTCAGCTCACTTAAGAACAGCTCACTTAAGTTGTAAGCCCTAGTAGGCTGTTACAGCTCAATTAAGCTGTAATTTATAGTGAGCTGTTTTAGCTCATTAAGTTACAGTGAACTGAACAGCTAACTTAAGCTGTAAGCCCTTGTTAGCTGTTCCAGCTCACTTTAGCCGTAAGACCTAGTAAGCTGTTCCAGCTCACTTAAGCTGTTGGCCCTTGTAAGCTATCAAGCTCACTTAAGATGTTGGCCCTTATTAGCTATACCAGCTTACTTCAGATGTAAGCCATTGCTAGCTATACCAGCTAATTTAAGCTGTAAGCCATGGTGAGCTGTTCCAGCTTACTAAAGCTGTAAGCCTTAGTGAGCTGATATCCCGATGTTTGGGATTTGTCTGTCCATCTGTATACTTTTAAGATATTTGACTGACAAGAGAATTATGTACCATACTTGACACACATGAAAAGCCATGCCCCATTCCAAGGGGAGATGACAAAATAAAGTAGAAATTGGGTTAGGCTATTAATAGTTTTAAGAAAAATTAGACCAGATATTCGATGAAAGTGTTCTCACATGATATAGAATGCTAGATTTTTCAAATTGTGGCCAGTGGGGATAGATTGGGTTAACAATATAGGGGATTTAAGTTTTACTTGCATTTATAACAAAATATTCTTCTTCCTCTCCAGACCAACTTGGTCAACAGAAGTCTGTTAGCCAATGCTCACTAGTAATACCCCTGCTTTGATGTGAATTATGCACAGGCGCAGGTATAAACAAAGTTGACATCAAATTCGTATAAAATGAATCCCACCATATAATGTGGCAAAGCAAAGAGTGCGCTAAAATTGCAAGCATCTGTGAAGAGTATTTGCTGAGAAAACTTCCGAAAATTTGTTAGGAAAGACAGATAGACACACAGAAACTAACGGGTAAAACAGTATACCCCCACTCCTTTGGAGCAGGGTTATAAAAATTATGCCTATTTATGTAGATTTTAAATTGTCCATATCATGGCGACAAAAGGTTTACAAAAGGGGTAGCGTGGTTTGCATGTAACTATACAAGAATACGAAATCTGAAAAAACACAATAGAGTCGTAAAACTGCAACCATTTCCTAATAGGAGGATTTTCATTTATGGACCCCGGGAAAAAGTTGGCTAAAACCAGTATCAAATTTTACATAATGCATTTATACATAATAGGAATTCCTTCTCGATAATCGCAAGGCCATGTAAGTCATATTGTTATTGAAGTATACCGTTAGAGCTAGGGTGGGGCTATAAAAGGGGATATAAAGATCAGGTTAAAATCTGATGGAAAACAGTAGGTCTAAAGTAACTCAGGTGAGCGTTGTGACCCAATCAAGCATTCTGAAGTAGTACAGATTGAAGTTGTCCCAAGCTGTTGTTAAGTTGTCCAGGGCAATACAAAAAACTGCTAATCAAAGATTTACATTAGAATATATTGGAAAATCTTTTTAAAAATATTCTCAACAACATCATGGGCGTGATTTTTTTTTTATTTAAATGCAAGTATTCATAGGAAATGTAGATTCAAGATTGTTCAAATCATGATCTTCAAGGTTAGAGTAGTTTGAGACCAGTCTTACATAAGAATATATACGAATAGTCAATCATTCTCGGAAATTTTCTGGTTGATCTTGACCTCAGATTTTCAAATTGAAAGTAATATATGAACTACCTGTCAAGAGATGTTAAGCTTAGGTGGGTGAGGGTGTTTTGCGAGGAGGATCGAATTTAATATAATTACATCCTGACCCTTAAGGCTACGTCATGGTCTGAAACAAATGTTGAATATTCTATATTCTTACGATGTTCAATGGGATTTAACTGTATATGTAGGAAAAAAAAATTATTGCATTTAGAAATGGCGGAAAATTGAAACCAGTAGAAAAATGGCATTACTGCGGGGAACATATAGATATTGTGAATCAGTTTCAAAATCTGGGTATGATGTTTACTATAATGGACAGTTTTTCCAAACTCAGAAACATTTTTTTGATCAAGGTAAAATGGCTATGTCTATGTATTGTTTGTTCAATAAAATGAATCTGAATTTTAATGTGGAAACTAAAATTGCTCTTTTTGAAAGTAAGTTATGTAAGTAGTGTTTTATGCTTTACATCAAAGTTTGGGGTTTTCACAAGGAACCGGATGTAGAAAGAGTACATATGTTATACTGTAAGAGAATTTACAAGAAATGTTAGAAAAAGTACTTGTAATGATATGATTTATTGTGAGCTTGGAAGAGTACCACTTGAAGTTTATAGAAAAAAATTTAAATTACTGGTTAAAATTACAAAATAGTAACAATTGTATATTTAAGTCGTGTTTACAGGAGATGGTAGAAAATGGTGATTTCTGGATTACAAACATAAAAAAAGGAATTCAATCTAAATGGTCTATCAGATCTGTATAACAACAGTAATGTAGATTCACACTCTGTTAAGATATTGCATGAAAGAATTTGTGATATTTTCAAACAAAAAACATTGTCAAATATTCATACTTCGTCCAAAGGATTTTTATACCGACATTTGGTGGACAATTTTACTTTACAATCGTACCTTTGTAAACCTTTACACACAAATTATAGAACACGTGTTTCCCGAATAAGATTATGTGCTCATGATTAAAAAATTGAAAGGGAAAGATATGATGATATACCTAGGAATTTTAGAAAATGTTATCTTTGTTCTATTGGTGATTTAGAAGATGAATTTCATTTTATACTTAAAAGCCCAAAATATGAACATTTGAGAAAAAAGTACATCAAAAACTGTTATATCTGCCGCCCAAGTGTTTATAAATTACCGTAATTCAATTGCTGTCAGCTCAAATACAAAGGAAATCTGTAACCTTGGAAAATATATATGTTTTGCAAACATCTTAGGAAATGAACTGTTGGATTTATAAATGCTTTATTCATACTTAATATTACACATCATATTTTGCTCATATGAAATGTTCTATTGTGCACTATATGTATAATATATTTATACCTAAGAGATGTATGTCTCTTGGTTTTAATAAAATCTAAAATCTAAAGAGTTGGCCAGTTAAAAACAAATCGGAACGATCAATAACCTTTTTGGGCCCCAAATTTCCCCTTAATAATTATACATAAATAAACACTGATGGCCAAGATTTTTTTTTTTTTTTT